AGTTTGTAGACACAGGAAATTTTAAGTCCTTCTGGTGAACACATAGTCCAAGTGCAACATGACAAAGAGATGGAAAACGATAGTACAGAACAGAAGCGGAGATGATTATGATAATTACCATGTACTCTCTATGATACAGGGAGGCTTGATGCTGAATCTAGGTGGTTTCAACTGTTTGTGAACATAGAGCAAATTGGACAATTGTTCTCTCTTGTGGTATTGGGAGAAAAAAACAGTTGTTTATTCCTATGAGAAAATAAGAAGCATTTCAAGCAGAACTTACTCCTTAGCTTTCATTAATTAACTTGTATGTTTAAGTATCATGGTGTCAGTTACTCATATTATTATTTATTTATGTTTCTTATGGTTAAGGTCATAGGGCCAAATAGTGACTGCCAAAGTGGCCGCAGTAAACAGGAATGCTTGTCTGGTTCACAGGTTCACAAAAGGAGACATTAGACAAATTCCATTAAACAAGGTCATTTCACCTCATAATGAGGAATCTGTACTTTATAAACCTAAGCAATGAATTCAGAGCTGTTTATATTCAGTGTACATTAACCATGCTGCATGTATCGAAAAATTTATTTTCTCCAAAATGAAAGAAAAGAAAAAAAAAAAATCTGATTTGGTTCATTTACCTCAGCTAGGGAAAGGATCCAAAGATGTAAAACCTTCACATCCCCGAAACTGAAATTTTGGTGCTGATAATCAAAATAATGACAAGAAATCATGCACCAGGGAAGATCAGCAGAGGAAAAGCAATCCATCAGTGTCATCAATGAATCAATACAAAACTAAGTCGACTATTACCATTCTTGTCACTACCTGTCTAAGAGAAATAGCCAATAAAAGGGAAAATTATACATTATTGGAAGTTTAGAAAAACATTGGAAAAAACACTGGAAAGCTTTACAGTACTTGCCAAAAATATAAACATACTTTTTTTGTGACACATCTATCATCACTGAGACTTTATTTTTTGCATATTAATTGGTATTAATCTGTTTAAAACTGACCACCAGGCAGATATATACTCTAAGAGACAGCTGAAGCCAATATGCTTCCATTTCAGAAAGACGTGCTTGTAAGACCCTGTAAACACACCTTGAAAGGCTGTTCTGTCCAAGCTAGATAGTTTTAGCTCTATCACAGAGACCTAGCAGGCGTAGGGCTGCAAAAAAATTAGTTTAATGAAGATTTGACATCTCTTTATCTCATGTCATTTCAAGCATATTTTCAGAAGGGCTTCTCTCTTTAAAACCGCTTTCCAGCATGACACAGTTTTAAAGTGGTTCGTAATAAGTTTAAGTTATTTGGCTATTTAAAACATGAACAGGAAAGGCCTGCACGCTCAGAGCCGCACACAGGAGGAGCCTTGACAATTGATTCCCTGTCTTCCCAGAGCCCACTGCAGCTCCTGCCACTGCCTCCCCCATGCACACCCGGAGCTTATCTCTCAAATTCCAGAAAGATTAGCGCTCCGCTATAGCATTGTTGCTCTGCCTCGTCTTACACACTAGAGCAAAGTCATTGCCAGTTTTAATATGAGGCTTCCGATGAAGTAGCACAAACTTTCACAGGTTAATTAATCAAGGTGAATTAGGAAGGTCTTACAGCAACCTGAGATATCACAAGCAATACTAGAACTGGAAATGCCACA